AACATCATTCAGCATGACCGGTTTGGTAGCAGGTCAAGAGTGATTTGGGGAGGGATGTCCATGGAGGGATGCACAGACCTTTACAGGCTAGGCAGTGGCACCCTGACTGCTATTGGTCGAAATCCTTGGATGCACTGTCATACCCTGGGTTTTCTCCCGGTGCACAACGACGTCCGGCCTTATATGGCGAGAGTATCCAGGCAGTTCATAGAGAAGGAATTGATACCTCTGACTGGCCCCCATGCTCACCTGACCTAAATCCAAAAGAACACCTCTGGGACATCAGGTTTCAGTCCATGTTTTGCTTTCTGCCACGTGTCCATTTCTCTTTAGAAGGAAGCAGGTTTCCTGGATCACAAAGGAAGCGATTACGTTGTTCTTTGAGAGACGCCTGTCCAACATTGTCATGGACTTATGGCTCAGGTAAAATAAATAACTCAATACAATAATAATAACTTGATGTGGAGAAAAGAAAAGCCTAACAGAATAAAAATATCTGAACACAAACCACAAGAAACACTTGCTGCTGTGTGTTTGCGGCTCTTGTGTTCTGTGCACCACTCTTTGTCGTCTTATTAGCATTAACACACAACCCTGCAAACATGAACAGTGACCAGAGGTCATTAATTGCCTCAACAGTCTAAGTCACGGTGGCAAATTGGCAGCCGCACTCAACGTCACCTTCAGACAAGCAGACAAGAAAACACTGGAGTTCAGATGATAACGTAACAGTAACAATGAAGGACCAACAAAACATAAATGCAATAACTGTCATAGCATCTTAAATTAACAGATTAACATCAACATGAACAGTCCCATGAGTCTTTGCACTAGTCACCCCTCACCCCTCAAGGACCCCTCAAGGCTGCTACAAGATAATAAATTAATTAATTTTGATATTAAATGGTATTAATGTCATTCCAGATATGCTGTTGGAATGATCATAAGCATTGTTTATGCACAAATGCGCACATGTATACAAACTATGAATGAAGCTCACTATCTTCAGTTGCGTTCATGCACAGTGAGAGGTGGAGGCATGCAGTCTCACGCCTGTTATACAGTTCTGCACTCATGTCTATTTGCCTACGCAGAGCCCACACAGAAGGGTATGAAACCTAAGTAGGTGCGCTTGCGTGCAGGCCTCCAAAGACCCAACAGATCAGTATCAACATGGATGACATTGTGTGTAGATCAAACGCTGATTGAAAAGTGAGCCAGAACAGGAAGGGCAGCGACGACATCAGGGATCATCAGAAACAGCAGAGATAGTGGCTCCAATAGATAGGATTGTACAAAAAAAGTGAAAACTATCTGAACCACAATTATATTTGCCTTGTTTCATTGTTTCTTGCACTTTCATAATTAAAACTTAGCACTGAGGTTTCCCTCAGAAGGGTTGAGCTTCATATTAAATGATTCAATAGCTGTTACTTTGCCACAGTGCTACAGTTTATATCAGCAATAAATGAACTTCTAGAGTTTCTTATTTAATATCCTGTTAAAACTAATGGATATGGACAGTACAGTGTATATATTTGTTAGTGTATGTGGGGGGTTTTTTTTATTCAGTATATAAAATCCTAAAATTTTCAGGCAGCCTAGATTAAAATGTAATTGTGCTTTCATTATGGGTTAGTAGAGCATATGCATGTGCTTTTATGGGCCAACATGCAGAGACATATTTTTTACGTTATTTAGTCATTTGGGAGAAGATCGGTAAAACAATAACTGCCTCGCAAGCTATGATATGCACCCTTGTAATAATCTGGACAGGATGCTGCATCTGGGCTAACGCAGATGAGGGAACAAAAGAAGCCGACTGACAGGAGATCCTGCTGCACCTCCGTCATCAGAAACTGACGTTTCTTTGGATGACGTCCAAGAGGGAAAGACGTCTATGCCGGGGACCGTTTCTTTGCATTATGCCCCCGTTTCAAGTAGGAGGGACTGAAACAAAAAGGAAAAATGTACAGGGTGCAGATGGATATGAGAGGGTTGGTGTGTAGCCATCAAGGATTTACAGGATTTACCACCTCAAAAATAAGAAGAGCCTGTTAAAATAAGTTTGACAGCTTGTCTCTCCACTGCACAGGTCACTCAGGCCTATCAGGCTATTCATTATGAATGCCTCGCCAACTATTTGCTGGCCTCTGCAGCTCTCTGTAGACTCGCTCTTTCTGTTTACCCTTAGAGCATCTTCGTCTTTCTTCTGGTTTTGTTAAATGATGAGTGTAAAATGTAGTGGCTTTTTGGACCTTTTTGCGCGTCCGGCTACAAACGATGCCAACAATGCACAATAGCGAGAGCCGCTGCCAATCTGACGCCAACGCTCACCAACTGGACTCCGGCATTTCCTGAACGTTCAGAAAAAAAGAAAACAGAAAACTGCTCCCGATAATGATTGGAGAGGAGCAGAAGAGGCATCAAACGGTTCAGCAACAAGGTTGTGGGTTGGGCAGTTGGATAATTGGCTAAAGCACCTAATGAAAGAACAGCTTGAAAATAAATCTAACAAAAGAAAAACCTTTGTGCAGGGTGAATGACAAACGGCAGGAAATGTCAAGCTGCGAGTTCTGGCTGGACTATAAGTATGTTCACTTGATGCTTTATGCTAGTTGAAATGTGTGAAAGTGAAACTCTCTGGATGTGATCAAATAAAAGTCCCTTGCATCTAAACGTACGCATAAAGATACAGCAGCTTGTCCGTTTCCAGTCTTATGAGCGAATCCAGTAATTATGCAGTTTGGTGCACTTGTTTAAAAGAGACAGCTACACTTGATAAACGAGCTACGTAGTTTATTCAGTGCACTCAGCTATTTGTAGCGCTCCACTGACAGCAATTACGGCTACGAGCATGTTTGAGGCTCCTTCTAGCAGCAGCAGCGCACACCTGGCTTTTGAAGCACTTGTGCTCGTTGCGTATTGTCTCCTGCTGTGACAGATTGGATTGGAAAGTGTTGGTAAATTGCGGTCTGTGTCTAAACTGATGTGCAGCTGGGTTCAGGTGCTTTGTGGCGATAGAAGACATTCAGAGGTGTATCACAAATCTCAGAAAGTGTATTTTGGGAGAAATTAACGTAATGCGCTCCCAAAAAAAAGAGTCTGACTAACTTTAATGCTGATGATTGAATTTTGAACAGATTACAGCAAGTATATCTAAACGTTTTAACTGCCCTCTTCAACTGTTTCCTGTACTCTCCCTGTGAGAGGTGCTGAAACGAGTATAAAGAGATGCAAAATGACCACAACAAGTATCTTTTTTTAAAAATTGTGTTTTGTGTCTCCTTGTTAAAGCCATGGGTTTGGCTCTTATGTTGGAAAAGCTCCTAATCGGTCCAGGTTGGGCCCTACTCGAGTCTCAATGGTACCACCGACGAATGCACACTGACGTTTTTAGAAACACAGTGAGCTTTAGTTTCTGAAAACCAGGGGGCACCACAGCCCCCACATTAAATGACCTTCAATGAGGAATCCTCAAAAAGCTTTTATGCACGGGGGTAGTGAGAGTGGGCGTGCAGGCTGGTTGTTTTTGTTGCTTGAAAATGCAGGTAAACACTCAGTGTGAATAATTGTGAATCTTCAGAGTAGAAAAGGACGTGGTGTGGAGCAAAAAGGTGTGATCTGCTGTCATCATAGACTGTCACATCCGTGTAACGGCCTTTAATTATCGCGTTCAAATTCACTGTCGCAGTCTCCCTCATCATCATCATCTTCATCTGCCCTTTCCATTTATCCCCCACTCAAGACTTCATCTTCTGCTGTCTGCTGTCAGTCACGTTGAGAGAGTTCAATGTAGCCTTTTACATATGGCACAGTCTCGTCCCTTAGCTTTACTCTGTACAAGCTCCAGCTTTAACAATCATCTACAAGGCTACATGATGTGACTATTTAGGAGTGAGGTTAATAATAACTAATGATTAAATGCAGAGTGGACAAACACATGCATAAACACTCAGTGCAACATTAATGGGAAAAGATTTTTGAATCAGATGAAGAACGTGGGCTGTGGTCTTGTTCTGTGACCGAGTGAGGAAAACCCTGCCAGGTAACATCAAACAAGCCCAAGATTTGAGGTTGGCATGATGTTAACTTGTCAGCTATTTTGAACGTACATGGTCGCGATGGAATGAGGCCTAGCAACCGCCTGTGGCTAGACTGTTTGCGTTCAAAGTTTTTGAACATGTTGTTTTCAACTCCGAGACACAACATTTACTTCAAAGGTGAGCCGTCTCCATTTCTGCTTTCCATCGTGCTTTTTCAAGGTTTGCTACTCCTCAGCTAGTAGTTTGTTAGCAGTCTGCAAACACACAATCTGCTAGCAACCAAAGCAATCACCAGGAAGTTTCTTCTGCAGCAACATCTGATATCAGCTGATATCAACCAACATTAAGGAACCACTACCGACCAGTCGGGGAATACATGTTTCCCTAGCAACTGGTGGCTGTATCCTGTCCCATATGGTGGACATCTCACGAGCAATGTACTCATGATGTCAGAAAACCTCAGTATAAAAAGCAAATAAAAATTAAGTTAGAAAGCAAGCATCTACAGCAGTCTGAAGTCTGAACTTCTAACAGAGATTATTCATGAATACCTCATTAAGTGAAACTTGCCCATTTTTTAAAGTATCTAAAATGCAACAGTTTAGATATATAAGATAGAAAATAAGGAAATGCATTGCAAGTCCACTTCAAATAGGCTGAAGGTAGGAATGTGTGCATTCACCCAAGTTCTCAAGAGGTTAAAAACAGTTTCTGGTAGTTACTTGTAAACTGATTCTTCCAAATGTGCACTAAAGATACCTGCAGTTCAATAAAAGTGTGTGTGTGTGTGTGTGTGTGTGTGTGTGTGTGTGTGTGTGTGTGTGTGTGTGTGTGTGTGTGTGTGTTGTTTGAGTTACACATCAATAAAATGTGGATAACAAAGACTTCCCTCCACTTACAGAATCTGTGTGTCTGAATCATGATTAAGCAGTTGAGTCACTGTCTTTGTTGTAGATGAAATCAGTCTGGAGGGGATGGTGGTGCACCGAGCCGAATGCAGACCAGTCGTCACTGACAGCTACATGAAGCTGAAGAAGTGAGTGAACGCTGAAATTTCTCTTCCAAATTCTGCAGTTTGAAAGCTGTTAAATTCATCTTGCTTGAGATGATGTAATCCCCAAAACTTAAACGTTACAGTGGTTCTTATTGCAGTTGATTAGAATAATATACAGACGGAAAAGAGAGTTAGGAACTCTATCGAGGAGGTAGATGTATCATTGTGACATTCTACAACCAAGAGATGCCTTCATGCCTGGAAATACAGAGAGTTTGCAGCAAGGCACAACAAGCTGGTTACACTCAAGAAGTCCAAATTAGACTTTGCCAGAAAACATCTAAAAATGAAGTTCTGGGAAGAAAAAGATATTTTAGAGGTGCACTGGTAACAAAGTATGACATTTGGAGAGCATCAAACACAAATGTACATCAAACACACAAAGCAGTAAGGGTTTTATTTGTTGTTTTGGAAGCGTGCTGTTGAATTTGCTTCTTTCACCCCTGAAAAGCACGAAATCTATTCAAGTGTTGTGAATCAATTCCAGCGTGAGTAGACAAGTTGGCAGCGTGCTGACAGGATCACGACTGCAACTGTTAATTTGTGTACACTAAACACTTGAGTCCACTCAGGCTGTTTTTTTTGGGGGGGGGGGGGGGGTTTAAATTTTTTTATTTCCAAACTGGTTTCTGTCTCCTCTTCATTGGATTATGCTATTCCAGCCAGAGTTGGAGGATGGCATTGCTATAGCAACAGCATCACTGTGGCAGATGCACTGCTACAATCCAACACAAAACACAGCAGTGTGTGAGACGCTTCCTCTGTCGACCATCAAATCAGCGAGGCACATTAGAACTAACAAAAAGCACCTTGAAAGCTGAAGTGCAAAAAAGCAGTCTTACGTCCTCTGTCCCTAACATGGCCGGTGTGTGTTCGTAACAAAGCTGAGATCCTCCTTAAACATTACAGGACGGCAGTATTTATCTAACACAGAGCACGGAGCGAACTTAGATCTGTCTGATTTGTACTTCGACACAAACTTGAGAAGAAAATTCTTCACTTTTGGATCCAGTTTTTTAATCTCCCAGTTGGACAGCAGCTGACAAATGGCCCTCCATCATTTCAGGCTACAGGATAATGAAGGACATTATGTTGTCATGGTGGCGTCTGTGTGTGTGGACACAATTCAAGAATAGTTTCGCTACATTTTCAAATGATTATATGAAGCTCTTTGCCACCTTTTCCGGTACATTAGTGAACATATTCAATCGAATAAATGTATGCATTAGATCCAATTTGATCATTATTGGGTTTATTTATAAATGGGGAGGACAATCGGCTTCACTAATGGCAGCACTGAAGCAGGAGTGCTTGTGGCCAATATCAGTTATCACAGTGATTATGGCAGGACATCAGGGAGGCAGAGTGCTTTGCTGTTTGATTTGATGGTCGAACTTTAATAAAAAAAAAAAAGTGAGTCAAGATTAATGAAAGTCAAAAAAATAAATAAATAGAAAGCAGGATATCTTCAAGCAAAGCAGCTGCCATTACTTGTTTGCTTAGCTCAAGCCCAAGGTTATGACAGTTGTGTTTTGTGCCAACAGGCCAATCTGTCAGCTGAGATCACATTAGACGTTAGAGCACAGATGATAGAGGAAACTTTCTCTCTCTCTCAGTGTGTGTGTGTGTGTGTGTGTGTGTGTGTGTGTGTGTGTGTGTGTGTGTGTCAGATTGCAGATTAAAGAGTCCATCAAGCCTCAGCGTTTGTCACAGCAGCTGGAGAGAGCCGTCACCACCATTTTCAAGCCTGTGGCCAACCATGATTTCAATGTGAGAAGTAATATCAGCAGTCCTTGTATGCATGTGTCTGTAACTAATTTGTATTACTGTTTGCTGCTCACAGTAGCTGGGCAAGGAAAAAATACCACTGTTGATGTAGAAGTCTTAAAAACTCATGGATCTAATAGGATACACTTGGCATTGTAGGGTAAAAAAAAAAAGCTGTTGTGCTGATGTAATGTTGCCACCTGCAAGGTCGTCTTTCATAAAGTAACTTAAAAGTCTCTCTCAACCAGAATGAATCACATCAAACTTCAGACGGCACAGTTTGAAATGTATTAATGACCCAGCCTTCATCACTTCATCAATCTCTTCATCACACAAGCAGATAATACTTTTCTTTGTGTTTTCTTTAATGCATTTTGATCTTCTAATGGTTCGCTTGCTGAACTTGATTCTCCATCAGCACCTTTACTTTTCAGTATTAAGTTCTTTCCCAGCTAAAGATGAGATATAAGATGAGTTCAGGATTAAAAATAGATTAGAAATGGAGGGAACTTTTTTTGTTTGTTTTTTAATTCCTCAGCTTTGTTGCATTTGTTCAGTTCCATCTTAAAATATAAATATTTCATGGAAAATTTTAACTAAATTACTAAAAAAAAACAGCTAAAAATGCATTTTATAAAAGTGCATCTTATCGCATTCTTTTACAGGATTAAGGGGAATTCTTTTAAATTATATTTTTATCTATTATAAGTTTTGGAAATTTTACAGGAACTGTTTGTATCCAGTTGTGGCTCTTTCACGTGTTAGGTGACTGTCTTAACCGCTACGATGTGCTAAAAAAGGTTAAATAGTTCAGTTAAATTTTTTTTTAAATAAACAAGACTTCTCGTTTCCCACCTGCAGTACCTTTATGGCCCACCAGGAGGTTGCAGCCCACACTTTGCGAATCAAAACCCACATATATATGTAGTTTTTGTAATGTAACCTCTTGAAGGGAATAATTATGGTATGAAAGGTATTTTACCTTCTGTAGGTCACAATTTTATTAATATTTTAAACTAACAGGTTTATATATTGACTTGGCGTCTTTGGTCTACAGCAATTTCATAGACTGTACATAAAAGATGGACATCCATTGGCTTGTGATGTCCATTTGAGTGTTTTGATCATAACCATTTAACCTTGATGGGTGAAACTTGGATCACAGCATTTCAACAAAGCATACTCCGCTTTATTGGTTAAATTAGAAGATTTTACTGGAAGAAAATCATTCTATATTAAGGAAAATTTAATGAGCAACAAAGACTTAATAAAAACTTGTTTAAGGTTTTAAGATTATTTCTTCAGGTCAAGTGACCAGTCAGGTCATTTCCTCATACTTATTTTTGCAGCTAAAAAAGTCGCAGTTTGAAAGAATGCAAGTTTAAGGTCCACTTTTGCATTTTTCAGATACAGCCGCTAGACCCATCTGTGATCTGTATTTTCTGTGGTCTTCCAGGTTAATTGCCTCTGGCTCATTTTCCCCTTTGGTGGGGTTAATTTGTGGGGATATGACCTCAGAACCTGTTCCAAGATAACAACAAAGCGCTTCCAGGTTTAGGTCCTAGACTTTGGCATTCAGTAATGCATTTTGGTTCAGTTTGAATTCTATGTGAAAACTGAACAAGCCAAGGGGGGAATGCAACAAGTGTGCCATCAGTTGCTGATTCAAATCAGGAGAAAACAGTCAGTGCACAATTTTTGGTGTTTAAATCCAACTGAAATGAGTTTAGTTGTCTTTAGTCTGGCTATATTATATAGCATTTTAACTGTCATTAATGTTACTGTCATCAGTTTTAATACTGAGTTTGGGTCTAAGATGGAGTATGAGAAGAAAAAGAAGACTGAAGGGAAGATGGTGAGAGCTGAACGTCAGCTCGTGTTGGACATGCTCTTCTCGGCCTTCGAGAAGCACCAGTATTACAACATTAAGGCGCTGGTGGACATCACCAAACAACCTGTGGTGAGCAGCGTGCACGCACACAAACCCATGTGAAACAGGCAACATGTACACACACTCAAACATGCACACATGCAACAGCATCACTGTAAAAAGCATAAAAAAAACCAATACACCTGCCCACTATCCACCTTGCTTTGTTAAATTTGAACAAATCGCCCACGGTGTGACGTTCATGCCTGTTCACACTATCTGTTGTGGCTGAAATTTGGGCCAACGTGTGCACACGCACACATGGCATGAATCGATACAGTGCAGTGGATTCATTCCAGCTCGCAGTGAACAGAAATGTGTAGGTGCTGATGAGACCTTTAGGTCCTCCTCTCCCTCTGATTGCATCTGATTGCATAACCAGTGGCTGAGTAGGAGTCAAACGCCCCAATACACTCCACACCATCATTTCTCTCCTAAAGCACTTGGCTAGCACTCAAATTAACTGAACTAAAGTAACCGAAATGCCCATTATGAAAAGTCTTGAAGTACATTACGGTTATTCATCAGTTGGCGGCCGCATCTTTACAAGCTCAACAGAGACACCTGCTGGTCATTGCAGAGGATTGTCTGATCTACCAAAGAGTAGCCCCTGCTTGCGAGTTCATGCCTGCTGATTAAACCAAAAGTCAATGTTAGCACATGATTTAAAGTAAGAAGAAACAGCTTTTTGGCCACTTGTTTCAAATAATGAGTCCGTGTATGTACTTTTTTGATATGATCCTTAAATAAGTTTGTTACAATTGCAACAGTATGCTACAGGTGCTTTTGAAAAAAGAAATAAGGAAAAGCATATCAGGTCCACTCTAACCCTCTGACAGCTAAACCAGGGTTGTTGTTGTGCCTAAAGGGGAATATTTGCTCACTGCACTTGTCTTTGTAGCTGGTGGATGATTATTAGGGTTATCCAGTTGCCTAGGTAACCTACTACCATATTTGCCACCCTGTCACATATCAATCAGTGGCAGTTTTCCTGAAGACACTTCAGTCGCTTACCTCGAAGTTCAGAAAAGTTTAACTCGGGACCCACAAACTGCAGCTATTTCTGTTCTGTTGTCAGTTGAAGTTGCTGATGCCATTGACTTTTTGTGGTTTCTAGTTTCTGCTGTTTGCTTCCTGCGTGAACGCCCCTGAACCAAAAAATGGATTATACCTAACCTTAGACTAACTACTTCTACCAGTGGAGCTCTTTTTAGTACTCTGGGAATATACTTGATCCATAACTGAGGGGAAAAAAAGGACACCAGAAGCCAGAAATCTCATATTCTTATAGCATAGAGTGATTGTGGAAACAGATCAGTGATTTATTAGACCCCACAATATTTCCCCTGTGGATCTCAGGGGAAATTTTCTAAACAGTGGTCACCACCATAGTGGCTCGAGTCCATCATGAGGAGATCGAGAGACACGCTCTCTCTCATATGCGCTGGGTTTCCTCACAGTTCAACAGCTCACCTGGGAGGGGCCATAGACACGTGTCTAAATCGCCTGAGCTGACTTCTTTGGGTGCGAAGGAGTTGTGGCTCTTCTCTGAGCCATTTGTGAGCTCCACACCCCTGTATGTGGGACGGCCCTCCTGTGGAACCACAACATGCAGGAAGAGGCACGTGGATTTGGAGTATTGTGGATCAGGCAGCAGACAAAGGCAGGGAGTCAATCACCAGCTCCCAGTAGTGTCATATACTAATAACTGGTACTTAAAGATAAATATGAGGCCAGTACCGGTTTAGCAACTGGTTTAGAACAAGCACAGGAGAAAGTGGGTGTGAACTGAAAAATGAAGGCATACTTTTGTCTTTGTGTGGGTTAAAGTAACAAGGTGCAAATGTTTGCTCTTTGTGCTCAGTTAGTTACAAATTGTCCACAAAATCATGCAACACATCTGTTTAAATGCACCATGTTTCAAGCTGCGTCTTGTGTCTGGCACAGACCTACCTGAAAGAAATCATGAGGGAAATCGGCACATACAACAGCAAAGGCGTTCACAAAAGCACCTGGGAACTGAAGCCGGAGTACCGACACTACCAATCTGACGAGGAGGAGATGCAGACCACCTAGGCCGAGCCAGAGTCCTATTAAGTATCTTCTGGGCCTCAAATTTGCAACAAATTTGTTTTTTTTCCAGTAATTTTGTTTTATGTTGACAGAATTATGGGGAGAAAAAGCTTTGGGTGCACTCAAACATAACTAATATGGCACGATGGTGTAAAATCATTATTTTTGTGGTAGGATAAATTTTTGTGTGTATTCAAAGAAAGAAATAAACGTCCTCTGCTGAGGAAAACAAAGATTAAGGGGCAAACTGGCTCGAAACTTCTAGTAATGCTGCCTCTTTCTAGGAGTGTTACTATGGCAACTATGAACAGCCTTAAACTATGGTTACAATGAATCACACCAGCTGCTGCTGCTGGTCTGACTGCACCCCAGCTATTAAATGTGTGTCAGCGGGTCTCATTCCCATTAGTTTCGAGTGAGATCAGTAGTGAGCACAACTTTCTTTTTTCCTTTTTTCCTTTTTTTTTTTTAAAGCCATGCATTTCGGTTTTTGTAATTAACAAAAGTATTAACTCTTCTGTAACCAGCTTATTTTTTTCAAAATGTGATCTCATCTTCACACAAGTCACAAGTATAGACAAACACAGTCTTTAATAGAATTGTCTTTTACCTCTTTTATTTTCCCCCCCACCAGCACAGTGCAAAGCAGTTCTGCTTTGGTTGCTTTTGAGAAGTAGCCCACATTTCAAAAGGTTTGAGACCCTTTGAAAATGCCACATAACAGCAGTTGGGGTAACATCCATGGGGAAGAAGAAAAAAAAAACGTGTTTACGAATCCTTTGTGGATTTCTTCTGATAACCTCTCTCTTAGCTCTCAGCCTGGCAGTTTTGTGGTACCATGACAGTGCCAACTCTACATTAAGAGCTGCTAGTGTGTTGGTGTAGAAGAGTAGAGAAGAGCTAAGTTACAGTCCTGAGCCCAGACACCCGTCAGAGAGAACAGACTTCCCCTGCTTATACCCTCAGTCTCCTTTAATTCACTGCCCACAGCTTGTGGGTGAGGATAGGAATGAAGATGTACAAGTCAATTAACAGCTCTGCTTTCACACTTACTGCATCATCAAAAACAAAAACATGGGTGCAGTTTGTTTTAGAAATGAAGCCTATGTATTAGTCTTAAATATGCATTCTGTATGAAGGCCACTAGATGGTGATAGCTGTGATTGTAGACATTACAAATCCTATAGAAGTCTACAGGAAAACAACCTTTTCTTGTCAAACCTTGCAACAAGTGTCGGTTTATTTTAAGGTTATCTAGTTGTTGAGACTAAAGACCACCTTAGATAAACTAACAAATACATTTGATGTCTGTGCTGTCCTAACGACCAGTTCGACAGTTGGCTACACACGTTTCTTTGTACTGCAGTCCTTGAGCAGTGGATTAAACTGCAGATCACTAGGCTGCTCTGAATCACTACTGTAAAACTATGGACGATCAAAATGAATTAAGTCATTAATAAAATTGGAAATTATGTATTGATATTTTATTACTAACATTTAATGTCACTAATTTTGGCACTTGATGCCCTCCATATCACCTTCACACATTTAACACCAATCTCATCAGTAAATTGCATTCATCATACACCTGACCTTGGGTCAACAGCCGCAAGCACTTTAGTTCACTCCTGAACAACCTCCGTACTACCAGCTCTAGTCATCCTAATTTCTGTGTTTATTCATTACTTTGTATGGCAACATTTTTTCTTGAATTTCGCTTTTATACATGAAGCTTACACATTACATTGCCAGCAGCTACTGGCTGTGACTGGTCTGCACTTCACAAATATCTGAGAATCAAAAAGGTGAAAGAGAAAACCCAAGGACGACTGCACATGAGATCAGTTTGTCAACGCTACAAAAGCATCTTTTCAAGCAATTCAAAAAGGATATTCTGAAATCCAACCTACAAACTGCCTGTTTGCAGCACCAGAAGTGAAGGTTGACACAGAAATGAAATGGAAAGTTGTGGTACTCGTTTTTATTCATTTTCAAATTAAACCATAAGTCTTTTTTTGTAGATGGAATCTTATTTAATGCAACCACAAACCCAAACTCAAAGGGGTCTGGTGATGCCAACCTGTATGGATTGTTGCTAAAACAGTATGCAGACAGAAGGAAAACAAACGTCTTCTTTCAGCCAGTCAGAGCTTTGCTCGCTGTCCAAGCCTTTTTGTTTCAATCACAAAAACTGGGCCAATCCTGGGACAAAAATCAAACACTGCAAAAGCCAAAAAAGTAAAGGTTAAAAACTGTATTTGGTGACTAATCATGTTTGATTCACCCCCCAGGTTTGGGAGCGGTTCTGTGGGCCGTAATGTGAATATTTAAGAAATTGGACAATGTTTCTGTTCAGGCATGATGCAAGGTAGTGCTCCTCCAGTCTGCTTTGTAGGCCATTTTGGAAGCAGCAGTCAGGTGAACAGCAGATGTAATTCCAGGTAGTTACTGTTTGAAAGAGAGAGGAACAGTGTGTGGTTATTAAATTTAACAATCTACACCCAAGTGGACAGCAGGCATGATTTTACAAACACGGAACATTCATTTAGAAATCCAGACTGAATTAGTGTGTGTACTGTGGCATACGGATGTTCTCCAGCAGAAACACTTTGTAGCTTGAGAAATGTATCAAGTCTTTCCCACTTCATAGCACTTACGCATTTTTCGATCTCCAGGCCATCTTTGAAGAAAAGCATGAATGGTGTGATGCCATCCTCACGGTAGTCCAGCAGACCAACCATGCCCTCTGGGTTCATGGACTCTCCTGTGAAAAACTGCAAGCAAACAGCAACCATTAGACCTTCCTCAGTCGTACAGAAAATCTTTAATTAAAAAAAAAAAAGTTCGGATTACAAAGATTTGCAACTCTTAAACCCATAATTTATTCACAGTAGAACACAGAAAATGCCACATTTTTTAAAACTAATAAAATCTAATTTCAAATTTGGCAGCTTTGCTTGAATTTGATGGCAGGGGAAAGTCTCCCCATCACCCTCGTTTCATTAACAAGCTTCGGGATGCTGGCTGTCAGCCACAGATCAACATGCCAAAGAACTGACATGTTTATTTCAAACAAGCAAGCTGGTTAAACTTGTCTTTTTGACACTACTTAACAGTAGCACCCAGTCTAGATGTCAAGTATTCACACTACGTTATCACACAGTCTATAAAGCAGGGCTGCCCAATCCCAGTCCTCGAGAGCTACTATCCTGCAGCTTTTAGATGCATCCCTACTCCAACACAGCTGAATCAAATGAATGGCTTGTTATCAGGCCTTTGCCAAACACGATGGCATGCTGAAGAGGTAATCAAACCATTTGATTCAGCTGTGTTGGAGTAGGGATGCATCTAAAAGCTGCAGGACGGTAGCTCTCGAGGACTGGGATTGGGCACCCCTGCTATAAAGCTACAAACTGACAAATGATAGAGGCAAATCCACCTCCAGGATGGATTAGCAATCCATTAGCAATTGATGATGACTCCCAAAAGAAAAACCTGTCAGCTGAGATTCTCCCATACACTGAATTCTCCTGGTGCCAACATGGTTATTGCCACAGTTTTCAGAGCTTCAGCTGCATGATTTAACTCAAGTGTTGTGTAGACACACACTCAGAAAGTGACATGCAGGCCTTCCTACAAGACTTGAAAATGTCACTCAAACTCCACCCATTGTCTACACTCCTCACCCTTCCCGTTGGCTTTTAAGGGTTTCCAAAAATTACTGTAGTTACTGTATTCGCAAGGCAAAACTTTATATTTAGTGTGAACACGGTTTAAAATGCCATTTCATCTCTGTATAGCTACCTGGTAGTTCTTGATGTTCCCCAAGATTTTCTTGACTTCTGGTTGGATGTCAGCCATAAAGCTCTCCACTCTATCTGGTTTGGTCTCTTGCAGCTTGGCTTTAACACTAGACATGCAAACAGACACGTTCATTTAACAGAGCCGAAGATCATTCAAAACCAGAACTCCTTCTCACTGGCACATCAAGCTACTCACGCCTTCACATAATCCTTAATGTAAGTCATGTACTGCTTCTTGTCAAAGCCCGTCTCCTGCAGTTTGTGGTTCAGGACGATGTCGACACCGGAGATTGTGGAAGACTCGTTGCCCTCGGTTGCTTCCTCGGCAGAAGCGTTGGCTGCAATTAGAGAATCATCAAACCCTTCTGTCCTGGTGACGGTCTGTAGTTGAGGAGAGGAAGAAAAAAGAAAAAACAATTATTACTGGTGCATCATAGCAAGGGCAATAGTAAATGATTGGGAAATACCAATAGATCAGTTGGCCTCCAATTCAGTATTTTTGAGCCATTTAAAAATGTATACCGTATTTTCACGACCATAAGGCGCACTTAAAAGTCTTAGATTTTCTTCAAAAAGTACGGCGCGCCCTATAGCGCAGTGCGCCCTGTGTGTTGTAATGAGGACGTAGTAGATAACACAATGAGAACGCTAAAGGTGAGTGTGGCGAGTTGGAGGAAGACTCGGCGGGATCATCGACAAAGAACGAGCGGGAGAAGCGTTCGACGGTCCCATTCGGCTAAAGCAGTTCCTTTCAAATGTGCCATTTCATGGAAGACAGAGCGCAGCACTTCACGGATATAAAAAAGCGGCCACTCCCCACCACACACTCGGGAAAAAAACAGCAATCACAACAGACAGGTGCTCACTTTGACATCCTGAGTCCACTTGAGAAGGGGGACAGCACGTAGCATACGCACAACGGTTGTCTTTCATGTTGTGCTGCTATCAATGGAAGAACTGCGCCTATGTGATTTGCGAGACTTGCCTAAAAGAATTTCCAGAGAATCATCATTAAAAATGAAAACTGATGGATGAAAATGAAAGAGGGCGGGGAGGTTATGTAAGGAGACAGGTTTTTTTTCCCAGCACCTCGCTCTTAATCGGACTATGCGGCCATCTCACAGCCGATGTAACTTGCAAATGCATGTGAGCTTGCTGTCATTCCGGGGTGCAGACTCGCTGCATCGGTGTGAACGGTAAAGTAAGGTGCGGCGGCTGGAGCGATGGATGACCGATGGAGACAGTTCACCAAGGGAAGGCAGCGCGGACGAGCGCCACAATTTGCTTGTTGAGCTTGCTAAAGTCTGCTGGCATGTTTTCCGAGGAGCCGCACGGCACGGAAAGTGACTCTGACAGTGAAGAAAGTGAACTTGGCATGTTTGATGGAGATTTAGCGCAACTGTTCAATTCAGACACAGAGGATGAGGACTTCGATGGGTTTGATTGATGATAAAAATGTGAGTACCAAACTCAGTTTTGCTCCTGCTTTATTTTTAAATACGCACACTTGTATGCTTGTGTGTTGTTGATGATGACGATTACCGGTAATAGAAATGTGAGTAAGGTACCGAACTCAGGTTTGCTCCCGCTTTATTTTTAAATACGCATACGGTACTTGTATGCGCCCTATGATCCAGTGCGCCTTATGTGTGTGTTAAATACAGTAATGGCACACATAACTGAGACTGCGCCTTTTAGTACAGTGCGTCTTATGGTCGTGAAAATACGGTAACTAACAAGAACAGCCGGCTGACTTAAATGTTGTAGCCCGCAACAGTTTCCCAACCTCTTCGAATCACGTCTTTTTGTTTAAACCTAAAAATGTTACTTTTTATTAACTTAAAAACAAAGCTTTAAGTATTTGCCTGGTAACTACATCACCAAGTTTCTTTGACTAATTTTAAAGTATGCTTAAAGACAAACACCAAGCTAACATGATACTTCAAACTGTTCTAGCATTTAAAATTTTTTTTGTCCGATTCTGAGGCAGGTTAAGGACCTTGTAGTTACGCTATTGGAGACCTGCAACTATGAGTCATCTTCAGTCATAGTCAATATGACGTCATGGAAGTACAGCCAGAAATCACATGACTCACTCCAAAAAACATCTACCAATCTACTTTAAACATAGGTAGTGGCCCATCCCGAATAATAATACCAAAGCTGTGAGAAAAATTACAAAACTGGGGAATAAATTTAAAAAGAGCGTACGCATTATTTGTTAATTACCATATGATCGTGTCCCGGTGTTTTAGATGCAAGCTCAGCCAAGATAGAAACAAATAAAATGCTAGTACCTTTATTTTTTCCCCACCCCC